CAAATTCAAGGTTTATGATTCTTGGTTCTTCAAACATGTCCAACACAAAACTCAACCAAATGACCATTTATGAACGTAAAAACAACCTATATGAACATTCTAATCTTTAGATATATCTACGGGCTTACCTTGAAGTTAAATGGGTGTTTTGAAGATTTTCCGACGAAACTTCCGGTGACGATAGCTCTCAACTCCGGCGACCTTACACCAAATTGACAGCACCACTGCATTCTCCACACTCAAGGCTATCTCCCAGAACGAATTTGATGAAGAATGGTGAAGAAATGGTGAAGTTTTTGTTTCCATTATATAGAAGAAGGGAAGGGGAAGAAGACATGGGATGACATGTTGTTCTCCTGTTTTGGCGTCTCAGTGGAGCAGACGGCCGATAACGCAAGTCCCTGATTGGGACCAATTTTGGTTCCAGTCGGGGTACACTTTTTTGTCCAACTTTCTCCAAATTGAAATCCGATTGAACCGTTGGGGTCAGACAGTCAAACTCTACATAATGATATGATTTTCATTTTTTATTGACAAACTTTAGAATTTACTTATTTTTGGGTCCTTCTCAGTAATTAATTAATTATAAATTAATTAACTCTGATAGGCCTATTTTTGGGGCGTTACAAAATGCCCTAGAAGCAGTAACTTCCCTTCTCGTTTGGAAGCAAGGTGGAAACAGCCACACACTGCCACAGTAGTGGCAGTAGCAAGTCAACACATATAGAGAGAGAAGAGATGAACAGAACAGAGATAGAAGAGAGAGCATGATCGCAGAACACAAAGCAAGAGAGAAACAGAACAGAGCAGCAACAGCAATGTATAAATTTTCCAAAATCAAATTCATATCCCAACTCAAATTAAATTCACACAATCAGTCGCATAATCATACTTACGAATTCAACATCAATTGGATGAAAACATATTAATGAATCCTAATCTACGAACTAATTTTAACTACAGATAAATCACTCACCTCAAATCAATTGGCAAGGAATCCCACTCTAATCGTCTTAATAATTCTAGCGTCTTTCAAGCAATTCTCTACCAAATTGCTCCAACGATTTCCCTCTCCCCTGTTCCAGTCTTGTCGCGCGGCGAAGAAGATAAATGCAGGCGGATGATGGTGATCTACGGCAGTGGGGAAACAGAGCAGCGCATGGAGTATTTAAGGAAATTGGGTTTGGGGTTTAGGTCTCTAAAGGGTTTGGATCTCAAGGTCCAATACGTATAGAAATAGGGATTACCCTTTTTTCCACCCCAAAGCTTATACGCATATATAAAAATGGTCCCTGTATATCTCCCGAAAGAGGATTGGGGTTTCTTTTTCTTACGGCTAAGGTTTAGGAAGGTTTAATAATTATTATATTATAAAATCTTTATATTTATTTATTGAACTGTAACATCTATTTTACTCATCACGTTTTACGCAAAAGTCCAAACTTAACAAGCTAAGCCGGGTTTCAGGGCGTTACATTTACTCTTACCAAAAAACTATTTCATATCATTTCAATTATGATGCCTCCAAAGTGGGTATTCCCAAAGCTTGCAATGCCAGTATGCACGAAAATACTTTTAGCATTCTTAGAGTATGGGTATGCAAACAAAGTTGCTGTATCAGGGAGTAATGACAAAAAGAAAGTTTATTAGCCTACTGTATTGGAGCCTTTTTTATCAAAGATATTTTACCGAGGAGTTACTTGAAAAGCTTAACATTAGGATTCAAACACTCACATTTCTCTATAAACAGAAAATGAAATTAAACATAAAATTATTTAATATTTGATAATCCAATTTATAAAATTGGATTTTATTTATCTGAAAATCATAATTTAATAAAAAGAACATTTTAAAATTGGAATTGTCTAATTCTCTGACTGTATTATACCAAATTGTATGTCTTGTAGAATCGATACTTAGAAGGCATAGCCACCATCCTCTTTGTCTAGACCTATAGTTAAGCCGGCAAATCCACCCACCCGCAAGAATGGGGGAAGACATCGGTGCCCTAGAAATATAGCTTACAACCTTGAATTAAGATACCCCGTCTGAGAAATACAAAGCATTATGGTGTAAGGTCAAAAAAGAAATAACTAAAATCTCACCAAAGGTAGCATGAACAAATGTTGAGGTAATTGTCATCTCCATCGTTCAGGTCCTAAGAGTCTTCTTCATCACAGCAACAAAAAATCCTGCTTTTGTATATATATAACAGGGATATTGGGTTCACCAATCACCAGCAGAGTGAAAGAGAAAATTTTATTCTCTAGTTATGAAGGTGATGAAGAATTTGAATTAAAATAAATAATAGCGATACCTCAATCTCACTGCCCCTGAAATCTGTTAGAATAAGTGCCCTTCACTAGAGGGGGGGGGGTGAATAGTGAGGCACGAGAATGTTTATAAATTTTTGCGGAATAAAAATCGCAGGGATAAAGTAAAGAGCGGAATAAAAAAGAGTAAAGGGAGCACACCAAGATTTACCCTGGTTCCCCACAACTTGTGGCTAATCCAGCCTCCCGAGAGACTCTCTCGAGCTACACTACTTCCGTTAAGCTTACGGGTGCTTAACAAACCATTACAACCTGAGAACTCGAGTCCCACGAGCCTCAATACACTTGCTCGGAGATACCGCACTCCAAGACTTCAACCCGAAGGAAAATACCTTTCCTTCGTACAACCAAGGGAAACAAGCTTCCCTAAACGTGTTTACAACACTAAGAACACTCAAGAACAAGACTCTCTTTAAGAGTAGATGTTGAGTTAACTATATACGCTCAAGAACAACTCAAACTTCACAAATTGGCTCTAGAAAGCTATGGAAAATAGTGTTGTTTGGATGCAATGATAATATGAATAAAGTGAAGTGAATTTATGATAAAAGCAGACCCAAACACTCCTTTTTATAGTGCCAAAATAGGCTCCAACGGACCAATACATTAAAGGGGTGATTGACTTGATTTATGGGATTGAATAAATTTGGGATCTGCAGGATATTGGCTTCCCATCGATGTTTGGAACTTACCCATCGCGGGGTAAATGCTTCCCATCGCTGGGTGGGAGGTTGACTTTCAAATAAGGAAAGAATCAGCCTTAAATGACTCCCAACGGTCATGCCTTACCATCGATGGTTAAGCCTTCCCATCGCTGGGTTCCCATCGATGGGTAAAGCTTCCCATCGCTGGGTAAGGGCATTCTGCCTTGTGATAATGTTGGACCAAGGCTTGAACAGCGATGGGTAGAGCTTCCCATCGCTGTTTGGCATGGTTCTAGAAGTTGGTTTGGCTAAGGGGCTACTTACCCATCGATGGGATGTTCTTCCCATCGCTGGGTGGGTGGTTAGCCAAAAACCTATGGTTTTTGCCTTAACCACGGCCTAGCCAACCGATGCAAAAACCGACCGAAAAATGCAAAGTTCTCCAAAATAAAAACCAAGTGTTTGAAACACTTATTTGATGTATTTGGCTTAGAAATCAAGTGAGACACTTTAAAAATCACGTCATTTGAGTAAAAACCACGGTTAGCCAAGTTTACGCTGTTTTGCGTGGTTTTTGTCAAACGACTAAAAAGCGAGAGATGGTTTTCAAAGTGTTTTTGTTGGAGAACTGTTTAAACATGCCAAAGAGTGAAAGCAGATCATAAAATGCTGAAAACCACTTGGTTGGTTCGGATGCCAAAAACCAAACCCGACAACCGAAAGCCGAACGCTGGTTTCTGAAAGCCGAACACTAGATGGCTTGGTTTTTGGTTTGGGCGAACACCAAGTGTTTTTAATGACTTAAACAAGTTTGAAAAACATTTTTATGATGTAAGAAATGCAATGAGAGTTTTTAGCCTAAAGAGCCAAGGTGTAAAGATTGGGTCGGTCTTGATCACAATAAAGACCGACTCAATACTATGATTAAGGTCTTCGTTCTTGGTCTCCGTTTAGCTCTTGCTCTTATCTTCGTTCTTCGCCTTGTATATTCAATGTTCGACTTGATCACGGCGGTTTGGCATTATCAAAACCTGTTACAAAAACGAACACGGCTTTAGTACGAAAACTGACAAGCCCGTGTTTCAACAATTTCCCCCTTTTTGATAATGGCAAACGAGACGAGGTTATGCATAGGAGGATTATTTTGAAAAAGATGTTCCCCCTTAATAGATGCCATTTTAGAAAAAAATTCCCCCTTAATTTATGCATAACCTTAATAACTTCCCCCTTTTGACATTAACAAAAAGAATGAAAAGTAAACTTTAGAATTGTAAATGGAAACTTTTTATTCATGAAAAAGGGAAATGCGGAATACAACGGAATGGAAAAAAATAAAAAATACAATCATAGGAAGAAGAGAAAAGAGAAGTCTAAGCATCGGCGTCCTCGTCGTCATCCTCGTCGTTCTCGACGTCCATGGGATCGCCGTCGACCGAATCTTCAAAGTCGGCCTCGTCGGGGGAGGAGGATGGAGCATAGGAGTTATCCTCCTCGTCCTCGCCTTCATAGTTTTGGCCGAGGAAGGTGCTGTCAAAGGGCGGCGGGACGTAGTTCATGCCGCGGAAGAACGCCGTCATGTCGTGGTGTTGGCGTTGCAGCGTCCAGTCCATCCGCTCGATTGACTGCCCCATGCCATCCACTGTGAGGGTTAGCCGGTTCAGAGTATCGGCTATGGATTGCAGAGAGGCCTTGGCGGGAGCGGGGGCTGGTGCACGACTTGGGCCTGCGCCGTCCCGGTCTCCGGACTTCTTCCGGAAGGTGCTGTCTTGAATTATCCAAATCTTTGTCATCTTCGTATCCGGGCCGGCGATGGAGATGTCGGCGAAGATGATGAGGTCCATGACGAGGAAGGCGTATGGCAAGCTCCGCTCAGTGGCGATGGAGGCGCAATCCGCCATGTGGATCATCACGAATTTCGCCCAATTGATGGAGGCGCCGTGGATGATGGCATGAATCGCCTTCAAATCCTCGTTGAAGAGCGAGGTATGGCTGCTGTCTCGGGGGCGGAGAATCCGGGTGATGATGTAGAGGAGGAGGCGCTTGTCCGGTGGGGCCGAGTGAATCGTCGGTGTGCCGCTGTGGCGGATGAGGTTGGTGATCCCAAGCTCTCGGATGACCACCGCCTCGTTGTTGAGGATCCAATCATCGCCGCCATATGTTGCGATGTCGTCACCGCGGATGGGCAGCCCTGCGACCCGAGCGAAGGTAGCCAAATCAATCTCTATGTCGTAGAGATTGATGCTACTGCGAATGGTGTCCCCGTCACGGCGGAGATTGGAGTAGAAAGCCCGGACGAAGGCGGGATTGAAGCTCGAGCGGCTCTTGGAGACGAATGGCCAGAAACCCGACGCTTGGAGTTGGTTGTCGAGGTCGTGGTACCCTTTGTCTTGGGGAAACAACTCCGGGAGCACTCGAGGTGGAGAGATCGGGCGCTTGGCAAAGTGAGTGAGGAAGCGTGTGAGTTCTTCCTCCGACCCGAACTCAAGAAATGATCCGTCCAAATATAGGAACGGAGGAGGGGCGGAGCTTGAGGGTTCGGCGGTGCTTTTCTTCTTGGAAGCCTTAGACTTTGATCTTCCTCCGGCCATGATTGAGGCGTATTTGAAGAACGATTGAAGAAATAAGTGGTATAGGCTAAAGAAATGAAATAATGATGTTAATTGTGTGTTAAGAAGGTAAGGGATGATGTGAATATATAGGAAGAGGAGGAAAAAGATGTGTGAATTCAAAAAATATGGCTGTTGGGCATTAAATTCGGTGCCCAACGGCCATAATTTTTGAATTTCAACAGCCTTCCCAGCGATGGTAGGAACTACCCATCGATGGGAGGGTCGCTACTGGAAAGTGAAGGAGAAAATCAGATTGCCTTCCCAGCGATGTGTGGACTCTCCCATCGATGGGAAGGTGGGTTCTGGAAAGTGAAGGATAAAGGACGAAAGCCTTCCCAGCGATGTTAATACCATCCCATCGCTGGGTTGGTAGTTTTGAAAATCTGTTAAAAAAATTTTTTAAAAAATAGTGTCAAACACCCAGCGATGGGAGGAACTTCCCATCGATGGGTTAGGAGGTTCTGAAACAAAGGCAAGCACTCACCCAGCGATGGGATAAACTACCCATCGATGGGTAAAGGTGTTCTGGAAATCTGTTAACCATTTTTTTTTTTAAAATAGAGTCAACAACCCATCGATGGGAGGAAGTTCCCATCGATGGAAAGAGGGGTTTTGAAAGCAAGAAGCTTTCCTCCCAACGATGGTATAACCCACCCATCGCTGGTTCCCCCTGACTTTCGGATTTCTTCACTTGGGACCGTCCCTGCAAAAAGGAACAACACTTTGGTACCCAAAGTAAGTCTATGGGTCCTTGGGGGTTAGTTTACCTTTATTGCCCACACACACACCCAAAATATGTTTCCATATGCGCACACACACACATACACGATTAAATGATTGTTTAGGAGTTACCTTGGCCAACCCATCATCTCGTGGTTGGCGGGTTCCAATCTACCTGAACGGAGTGCCGATATCTCGGTGTGATTTGTGTCGGTTCCGGTAACGGAATGTGGACATTCTTCTTTTCGTCAAAGTAGAAGAAATAATAAGGTTTCTTTTGTGCATTGTCCTGTGGAGATTGTTTATGATTTGAATATCCTTTTCCAAAGGATTTCTTTTCATTAGCACCAAATACGTTGTGTGTTTCATTGTAGGTGAAGTGCCTATGTCTGGT